GGTGGTCCCCGAGCGCGGCGCCTACGCGGGCCATGGCGCAGGGCATAGCAGGCGTGGCGCTTTCTCGACACCATAGGGGGTGCGCAGGGGGTTGCCCCCGAGCGCGGCGTCTATGCGGGCCATGGCGCAGAGCATAGCAGGCGTGGCAGTTTCGCTGCACCATAGTGGGTGCGCAGGGGGTGGTCCCCGAGCGCGGCGCTTATGCGGGCCATGGCGCAGGGCATAGCAGGCGTGGCAGCTTCTCTGCACCATAGGGGGTGCGCAGGGGGTGGTCCCCGAGCGCGGCGTCTATGCGGGCCATGGCGCAGGGCATAGCAGGCGTGGCGCTTTCTCGACACCATAGGGGGTGCGCAGGGGGTGGTGTCCCCGAGCGCGGCGTCTACGCGGGCCATGGCGCAGGGCATAGCAGGCGTGGCAGCTTTCTCGGCACCACAGGGGGTGCGCAGGGGGTGGGGTCCCCGAGCGCGTCGTCTATGCGGGCCATGGCGCACGGCATAGCAGGCGTGGCAACTTCTCGACACCATAGGGGGTGCGCAGGGGTGGTCCCCGAGCGCTGCGTCTATGCGGAACATGGCGCGGGGCATAGCAGGCGTGGCGCTTTCTCGACATCATAAGTGGGTGCGCAGGGGGTGGTCCCCGAGCGCGTCGTCTATGCGGGCCATGGCGCACGGCATGGCAGGCGTGGCGCTTTCTCGGCACCATAGGGGGTGCGCAGGTGGTGGGGTCCCCGAGCGTGGCGTCTATACTGGCCATGGCGCAGGGCATAGCAGGCGTTGCGCTTTCTCGACACCACAGGGTGTGTGCTGGGGATGGCCCCCGAGCGCGGCGTCTACGCGGGCCATGGCGCAGGGCATAGCAGGCGTTGCGCTTTCTCGACACCATAGGGTGTGCGCACGGGGTGGCCCCCCCCGAGCGGGGCGCTTATGCGGGCCATGGCGCAGGGCATAGCAGGCGTGGCGCTTTCTCGACACCATAAGTGGGTGCGCAGGGGGTGGTCCCCGAGCGCGGCGTCTATGCGGGCCATGGCGCAGGGCATAGCAGGCGTGGCAGTTTCTCGGCACCACGGGGGGTGCGCAGGGGTTGGTCCCCGAGCGCGGCGTCTGTGCGGGCCATGGCGCAGGGCGTAGCAGGCGTGGCAGATTCTCGACACCAGAGGGGGTGCGCTGGAGGTGGTCCCCGAGCGCGGCGCCTATGCTGGCCATGGCGCAGGGCATAGCAGGCGTGGCAGTTTCTCGGCACCATAGGGAGTGCGCAGGGGGTGGCTCCCGAGCGCGGCGTCTATGCGGGCCATGGCGCAGGGCATAGCAGGCGTGGCACTTGCTCGACACCATAAGGAGGTGCGCGGGGGGTGGCCCCCGAGCGCGGCGCCTATGCTGGCCATGGCGCAGGGCATAGCAGGCGTGGCAGATTCTCGACACCATGGGGGGTGCGCAGGGGGTGATCCCCGAGCGCGGCGTCTATGTAGGCCATGGCGCAGGGCATAGCAGGCGTGGCGCTTTCTCGACACCATAGGGGGTGCGCAGGGGGTGGTCCCCGAGCGCGGCGTCTATGCGGGCCATGGCGCAAGGCATAGCAGGTGTAGCACTTCTCGACACCATAAGGGGGTGCGCAGGGGGTGGCCCCCGAGCGCGGCGTCCATGCGGGCCATGGCGCAGGGCATAGCAAGCGTGGCAGTTTCTCGACGCGCAGGGGTTGGCCCCCGAGCGCGGCGCTTATGCGGGCCATGGCGCAGGGCATAGCAGGCGTGGCAGCTTCTCGACACCATAGGGGGTGCGCGGGGGGTGGTCCCCGAGCGCGGCGCCTATGCAAGCCATGGCGCAGGGCATAGCAGGTGTGGCACTTTCTCACCATAACGGGTGCGCAGGGGGTGGTCCCCGAGCGCGGCGTCTATGCGGGCCATGGCGCAAGGCATAGCAGGTGTGGCACTTTCTCGACACCATAGGGGGTGCGCAGGGGGTGGCTCCCGAGCGCGGCGTCTATGCGGGCCATGGCGCAGGGCATAGCAGGCGTGGCAGCTTCTCGACACCATAGGGGGTGCGCAGGGGGTGGTCTCCGAACGCGGCGTCTACGCGGGCCATGGCGCAGGACATAGCAGGCGTGGCATTTTCTCGACACCATAGGGGGTGCGCAGGGGGTGGTTCCCGGGAGCGGCGTCTATGCGGGCCATGGCGCAGGGCATAGCAGGCGTGGCGCTTTCTCGACACCATAGGGGGTGCGCGGGAAACGGCCACCAACATCATTTTCACTTGCTTCACTTCAGCTATCATCATTCCAGCCATAATATAAGTATGTGGAGTTCCTCGGTAGCGTAATTTCTTTTGGCACTCCTGGGGGGCTCTTCGGATGCCCATGGGATACCCTTTGGACCTCCCGAGGGCCTCTTACAACTTTTCTAAACACCTTTCTATGGCCTGTTACGGGCCTGTCGGGGCAAACCTGTCGGCGGCCTCGGGGGGCCTCGTAGGAGCCTGCAGGATGCCTTGGGGGCCATCTTTGGGTGGAGAGCTCCAAGGTGAAATTGGCTTCGTGCTCGTCGCTTAAGAGCGCCCACGAGTCCGTGGAAATCGTTGGACCCACCTCTATGTTTGACACATGTTTCGTTCCTTGTCACAGAGCTCGCCTTTGTATGAATATTGAGGGACTCCACTGCGTGCTGAAAGATCGGTGGGGGATGTACGCTGGCGCATGACGACGCCTGCGTAGGAGTAGGTGCTAATATGAAGTTGTTTGCCAGCGAGGTCTCCGCACAGTTAGTTTTTGCACTCTGAACGTGTAGGTCGTGTAGTGCAGCCGGTCTGTTGTAACTAGTTCATTTTCGCCAAGTCGTGAGTTGTCAATTCCATTGTTCGCGCAAACATCCCAACCTTCCACCCGGAACTTAGGTTGCAAAGCTCAGTGGCCGCGATTGCGGTGGTTGCTTGGCCGTTGTTGGCGCATCTTTGCGGCCGCGCTGGCTCTCGCACCCCCGCGCGTAGAGAGTCCAGCTGGTTTGGCACAGCTGATGCTGCTTTTTCAGCTGGTTTGCCGACGCGCGGGCATTTCAGTTTGGGTCGGTGATTTGGACGGGAGCGATATCATGATGACGTCGGCAACTATGACAAATATTATGATACCAGTTATGGTGATGGCAATGATGACGATGACGGCGAGAAGGCCAATGAGGGTGCCGATGCTGGTGATGACCATGACGATGGTGGTGTCCATGTGTCGGTGATGACGGTAATTGACGGGTGATGGTGGCAATGCCAGCAATTAGTGATGACGATAACGGCGGTGATGCGATGGTGTTGATGCGGTTGATGGTTTGGAAGTGCATGTGCGTCGGAATGTAAGAAGTCAGGTGAACCATTAGTTGAACAAGCATGCGATTTTATTCATGATCTCTACCTTGACATGCTTCGACAGCCAATGTAGTATAAGGATTTCGGTACGCATCGTGGCGGCGCTCGCGTGTGTCCCCTATGGCATTTTCTGATACGGACCCGTGCACTGGGCGCATGCCAGTTCAACGCAGATAAACTGCGTGGTGAGATGAGAATGCGGATTCTGCTGTGTTCGAAATTGCTAAGATTCTAAGGTTCCCCAGTGGCTTCGTCAATTGCGCGCGAGCAGGCAATGCGCAAGGTTTGTAATCAAACCACCTAATGTGTTTTATGTGTTCATGTTCAGATGCTTGCTGAACTCGTGCGTGTTGGTGTGATTTTTGCAGGCGCGCGCGGATTGAACTTGAGCAGTTTCTGTTGCACGGGGTTCTTGAACAATGATATTTTGAGATGAACAAGTGCGCGCGCATGGTATTATTTCACAGGGGTGGGGGAGGGGTCGAAGCCGGTTTGGCCCAGATGGCATGAGTTAAAAATGAAGGAAGAGATAGGATCATCGGTGAAGTGCAATTCGAAAATGGGGCGGTTAACCCCGAGAGGAGGGTGGTGGAGTCTTCCTTCCTTTTGACAGGAGAACTAAGCACGTCAACATTACATTGTCAATTCCACTGCTCGCGCACACATTCCACCCTTCAACCCGCAAATTGTTCTTCAACGCCCACGTCGCCGCGATTGTAGTGATTGCCTGGCCGTGGCCGGCGCGTCCCTGCGGCCGCGCCGGCGCGCGCACCCTCGCGCGCAGAGCCCCCAGCTGGGCTGGCACAGCTGATGCGGCCCCGATGTCGCTGAATGGTGGGAATTTCCCCGCGCGTCTCAAAGACCGCGCGGGCGCGCGGGCATGTTAGTGCGGATCGGTCATTCGGGCGGGCACGGTATTTTGCGGATGTCGACAACGGTGGAAACGACGATAGTAGCGATGGTTGTGGCGATGGTGGCGATGACGACGGTCAGGTCAATGATGGTGATGTTGGTGACGATGACGGGGTTGATGTCCACGTGTCGGTGGTCAAAGTGATTGGCTGATGATGGCGACTAATGATGACGATGACGGAGGTGACGCGGTGAGGTTGACAAGGGTGATAGTGAGGAAATGTGCGCGAGCAGAAATTGCTCTGTTGTAAGAAAGTGTACTGTCATTTGTTTTCTTCACAAAAGCTTCGAAAGCAATGGGGTCGGACGGATATCGACACGCTCGCGTGGCGGCGCGCACATGTGGCCCGCATTCTTACTATTTGGCATGGATTCACGCACTGGGCCTGCGCTAGATCAACACAGATGCACGGCGTGGACGAGATTGCTTGAACTGGTATGGTTTTGGCAGATGCCAGCGAGTGCGCACGGGCAGGAAACCTAACATATTCTGATGAGAGCAACTCATCAGTGTACCTGTTTCTTGACAGGTTTGCAGCAGTCACGGGTTGAGTCTGATTTCGACATCTGCGTTCGCGTGTGGATTGTTCTCGTTGCGTGGGATGGTTGCATTTTGTAGTAAACGAGTGCTCGCGTTGCATCGCCGATGCGTCCGCGATGCACCTCAATGTGGAGCCCGGTTTTCTCCACGATGGCGGAGCCGATGCGTCGGCGATGCGGCGCGATCCCCTGGCCTTGTCCGCTCGAGCCCTACCTGGGAGGCCTACATTACCACTTCATCCACCAGGCTCAAGCCGCGAGTTGCCGCTTCATCTGTCATTCTGACTAGTAGCCAGTCGCACTGGTTAGTCATGGAGGCACCCTTGGCGATCCAAGTTGTCGTGGAGGCCTACGTCTCGAGCGTCGCCCCTAGTGCGTCTGCCTTCGGTTTCTTGACCCTGATACCGTGGAGCTCGCAGGACCAGCCAGCCAACGTGCTGGCCCCCGAGGCAGGCGATGGAGAGATGAGCCGGGGCAGCATCGCCCAGATGGTGGAGCTCAGAGCAGGAAAACGTACCCATACCCATACCTTTTCTTGGTTTTCCCCTTTTGGGGCCTCCTGGGCGGCCCTCGTCGCCACCGCTGGATTCGCCTCGAAGCCCTGGTCAGAACGCATCCCGGGAGAGGTCTGGAGAGTAGCGGTATCGGTATCTTTTGGTATCCCCAGGAGCAGCACGAGGCCGTGGTAATCCCGTCCGTGTACAAGACGCAGAAGGAGCAGGGGGGGCTGACGCGTCTCTTGGGCTATCTGAGGGCCGCGCACCCTGACGCGTTCGTTTTTCTGGTGCAGTTGCCAGATCGGTTCGGTACCGAGCTAACCAAGGACTGCCTCCGTGAACTGATGGTGCGGCATGATGCGCTCTACAGGTTTGAGACGAGCGGCGTGCTGATAGAGCTGGAGGGTGACCCGCAGGGCTTGCAGCAGAAGGTACGTCTGCAGCTTATGGAGAACACCGTGGTCCAGCAACGCGTCGACAGCTTCTTGAGAACGGAAGGACTCTCTTCCAGCGAGTGCCAGACCATCGAGGAGGAGCACGATTGTCTCCTGTGGGAGACCATCCCGAAGTTGCTGATGCCCGGTTTCCCTGCTCTAGACGGGGGCTTGTTGGAACGGGGGGGCCAGATCGGGGAGTTCCAGCTGGTGCAACAGTACGCAAGTCATGAGCACATTTGCTTGGCGGTTAGCGGGCAGCACGAGGATGTCTTGGTCAAGATGTGCAACAAGCGTAGCGTCACCGTTGCCGAGGAGGTGGAGAGCATATACCAGGAATTCTGCCTCTTGAAGCACACCCTCGACCACCCAAACATCATCCGTTGCTTAGCAATGTTGCACAGCCAGTCCCATGTGTACCTGGTGTTCCAGTACGGCGGCGACGCATGCATGGAGCAGGTGCTGTCGATTCATCCAGGCTGCCGCTTGTCCAGGGACGATGCCCTGGACTGCACCATCCAGGTCGCGAGTGCTCTGTCTCATTGCCACGCCAATGATGTCACTCACGGTCAGGTGTCGCCGAGGCACGTGTCGGTAGAGATGGCGAATCATCGGCTGGTCTGCCGCCTGGTGGACTTCAGCACGGCAGCCCGCATTCCAGACGGCCACACGCGGCAGGGCCTGTGCGGCTCTCTCCCATGTGCCGCTCCGGAGACAGCGCTGGAGGAGCCGTACTGGCCCAAGCCAGCAGACTGCTGGAGCCTGGGCGTGGTGCTCCTTGAGGCCGCTGGCGGGCAGGGCACGCTCGAGCTGTCGGTGCGGTGGCGCCGCGGTGCATCGCTCGCGCAGGCCGTGCCGGAGATACTCGAGTTCTTCGCCCAAGCCGGCTCCCACGCCCAGGCGATGGCGAGAATGGGCGGCGTGCACGACGATGCGTCGCTGGCGTGCCTGGAGGCCCTGCTGAGGCCGGAGCCCCTCCGCAGGGCGAGCGCCCCCGACGCGTTGGAGCTGTTGTCAGCCAGGCGCGTGTAACTAGGCTTCTGTTCTGGTCGGACGAGTGGGGGGGAGGAACCTATCTCAGTTGGCCTTCCTCCAAGCAAGGGGGAACAATCCAGACATGCGTCGGCCGCGTTTCTGCGGGTGATGCGCGCACGCCTGTCGGCGCGCGCGGGGGCCTTGGGGCGCGGGAGGCGCCTGGGGCCCAGGTGCGCGGCCAGCACTTGGTCCTGATGGTCCTGGGTGCGTTCGGCGCCCCCTCTGAAACTCCGTGTCAATCTTGCTTTGCCAGGCGCGCGAATGACCTGCCGCACCGCCTAAGCTCAGCCCAGTTTTAATTCCTGTCTACTTCAACTCCCCCCCTCCTCACTTGCTCCCGCTCCCGCCTGCCCGTGAAGCAATCCATGCACGACGGTCGCATCATCGGCCAGGTGCTGGAGGCATGGTCCAAGATGTTCCCCCCGAGTTCTAGATTGACACGGCGTTCGGGCCGATCGGGAGCAGCGTAGTTCTCTTTCTCTCTCCCTCTCTCTCTCTCTTCCCTCGTGTATCTTCCTTCTCTCGATCCTTCTCGTTACGCTGTGGCGGAGTCAACGGCTCCACATGTCATGACAATCCTGTGGCGTTCTTCATCACCTTTGGATGCAGTGGCAACCTCCACTTGCAGTGGCACCGATCAGAGTCAGCTCCGATCCCCTCTTATTTCCCAATTCGACGTTGACTGATCGTGGCCAGCCAACTTGCAGCCACGTCAGTCACCCCCCGAGGGGAAGAAGTGGGTTCGCAGATCCAGCTCACTGGACCGCCCTCTCCTAGTGGGCTGGTGGGATCTCTCTCGCAAATGGCCAGGCGCGCGAATGACCTGCCGCACCGCCTAAGCTCAGCCCAGTTTTAATTCCTGCCTACTTCAACTCTGCCCTACAACGCATACTTGGACGGAGTCGGAATCTTTTTTTCGCCTGGAAGGTGAGCTACCTTCGCTTGTCCTCAGCGCTTCTACTCTCTGATACATGCGCGTTCGCTCGCAAAGGTTCTCCGAACCTGATGCGCGTATCTTGGGACGTTGGAGGGTCTGTTGCCCCAGTTTGTGCAAAGCGTGTTGAGTCAATGACTCCACAGGTCATTGAATCCTGTGACGTTGAGCATCACCTTTTTTTAAGACTTTCAATGTGTCTCCCCCCGAGGGGGAGAAGTGGGTTCGAATACAGATCGAGCTCACTGGACCGCTCACTCCTAGGGGGCTCGTGGGATCTCTCTCGCAAATGGGCAGTGCAGTTGCTCATGCTCCCTCTCGATGCCGATCGCTACGCTGGAGGCAAGCCGCGCCTTTGGCTCTCAAGTGCGAGCAGCTCGCAGTGTGTGAGCAGCTCGGAGCTTCGATGTCTATTTCTCTCTCTCTCTCTCGCTCTCTTTTTCTTCTCTCTCTCTCTCTCTGTCTCGTCTTCGCTTTAACTCTCTCTCTCTCTCTCGTTCGTTCTCTTTCTCTCTCGCTCTCTCTCTCTCTCTCTCTCCTCGTACATGTTCGCTCTCTCTCTCTCTCTCTGTCCTCTCTTTACGCTGTGGCGGAGATTTTCGTGTCTGCCCTGATTGTTTGGTGCAAGCAGTCGCGTGGCAATTTCTGCTGCGTCTTGCGTGCTACTATTGTGGCAGTGAGGGCGTCGAGCTCAAAGTCCAGTAGTCTGGAGCTTTTGGCGACAGTGATTTTCAAGCGCACTCCCATGCTGGTGGGCGCAGCGCCGTGTCCGTGGTGTGCATGCACAGAGGCTGGTAGGAGCCGCTGTATTCCCTCTCCCTGCAGCGCCGCTTCCCGAACCCGAATCAATTTTAAAAGGGTGTTCGCGACGGCCCAACAAAAAAAACGTCGTGCGTGCGAGTTGGCAGTCCCGCGCCGCACTGAACACCGGCAGGCGAACAGTCACAAGGCAGCTCGCCGGCTGGGCCCCACCGCAGGCCCAAGCGACGAGCGCAAGTCGGACGCAGTGTTGTAGAAGGAAGCCTCGTAGAGCCCACCACATGTGTGTAAAACTCCATATGGCGCGCCATGCATCGGTTGCACGATCCATGGGTTGCGCCACCGATTGCGCCATCCATCGGTTAAGCATGTGCTGCCGCACTGAGCTCCAGCAGACCAACAATCAAGCATGAATCGCTTACGTCAGACGGGGATGGTGCACCGCATCATGAATTTATGCGTATGTGTTACTGTTGAATCCTTTCATACACTTCCAGCTAATGCTTCGACCCGAATGCAGCATTGTAAAATACGCACGGTATGTGCACAAGTGCACGTATCGAAGACGCCTACGGCGAATCACCGCCGCCCCCTGCCCTTTGTGAAAGCGCCTATGTGGCCGAACGTTGAGGCCAGACCTGCCAAGCTATCGGACCATGTGTTCCCCGACTCGGTTTGGAAAGCCTTCGGGGAACACGTGGGCATCTTGAAGGTCATCTTGGCCGTCTGGAGGCCATTTTGATTATTTCGGGCCTTCTTGGAGGACGTCTTGGAAGGCTCTTGGGCCGTCTTGGAGGCCATCTTGAGCGCCTTGGAGGCCTCTTGGGCCGTCTTGGGGGCCTCTTGGGGCCGTCTTGGGCCTCTTGGGCAATCTTTGGGGGCACTTGGGCCGTCTCGGGCCGTCGGAAGGCAGAACAAAAGCAAATGCCACAATCCTTCAAAATCGCATGGGCAATCGCTGATTTTGGCCTTTTTGGCCCTTCTTGGAGGCCCTCTTGGGAGCCTCTTGGGGCTCCAGGGCCGTCTTGGGGGCCATCTTGGGTGTCTCGACATCCTCCTGGGCCGTCTTGGGGGCCTCTTGAGGCCGTCTTGGGGGCCTATTAGGCCGTTCTGGGGCCATCTTGGAGGCCTCTTGGGCGATCTTTGGGGGTTCTTGGGCCGAACCGGGCCTTCGGATGGCCGAACATAATCAAGGTGTTTGGCCTTTTCTGGCCTTCCTGGAGGCCCTCTTGGAGGCCTCTTGGGCCGTCTTGGGCCAGCCTCGAGCCAACTTCGGCCATCTTGGTGGGCTCCTGGCCCGTCTGACGCCGTCGGAGGTCGTTTGGGGGGGCTGTCTGGGCCGACTTGGGGCCCTCTTGGGGTGCTCCAGGGCCGCCTTAAAGGCCATCTTGGGCGTCTTGGAGGCCTCTTGGGCCGTCTTGGGGGCCTCTTGGGGCCGTCTTGGGGGCATCTTGGGCAGTCCTGAGACCATCTTGGAGGCCTCTTGGGCGCTGTGGGGGCGATCTTGGGGGCCTCTTGGGCCGTCTTGGGTCGTCGGAAAGCCGAAACAGAGCACATACACAAAACCTTTGAATACCTAAGGACGATCGATGATTTTGGCCTCTTCGGGCCCTCCTGGGGGACCTCTTGGAGGCCTCTTGGGCAGTCTTGGAGGCCTCTTGGGCACCTCTTGGGCCGTCGTGGGCCGTCCTGGAGGTTTCGTGGGCGAACTTGGAGGCATCTCCTCCCCTCTTGGGCGGACTTGGAGCCCACCTTGGACCATCTTGGAGGCCATCCTGGGCCAATGCCAGCCCAGCATTCTGATCGGCGACGGTTCGAGTTGGCGCGGGAGGCCGTCATGTGTGGCAGTTCGTGTCTCCAGGGTTGGGGGAGCCGTGATGATGTTGATGATGATGATGATGATGATGATGATGATGATGATGATGATGATGATGATGATGATGATGATGATGATGGTGATGGTGATGGTGATGGTGATGGTGATGGTGATGGTGATGGTGATGGTGATGATGATGCTGATGATGATGTTGTTGATGATGTTGATGTTGATGATGACAGCCATGGCGATGGCCATGTCGATGACGATGGCGATGGCGATGGCGATGATGAGCATGTTGATAATGATGATGCTGATGGTGATGTTGGTGATATCGGGGGGGCGACTTTGGCTGTGATGCTGGTGGTGATGATGACGAGGAGGAGGATGAGAAGGAGGCGGATCATGATGATGTGTTTGATGATGGTGGTGCTGTTGATGCTGTTGCCAATGCTGATGCAGCTGTTGCTGATGAGGAGTGAGATGATGTTGCTGATGGTGATGATGCCGATTGCGCAGACAGTGATGCTGATGTTGCTGCTGATGATGCTGATGCTGCTGCTGATGATGATGATGCTGATGCTGATGCCACTGATGATACTGATGAGGACGAAGTTGTTGATGATGGTGGTGTGGGTGATGATGACGGTGGTCATGAGGATCGCTATGGTGATGGTGATGATGAGCATAGCATGGTGATGATGGTGGTACTGATGCTGCTTCTGCTACGGATGTGCCGATTGATGGGTATGATAATGCTGGTGATGGTGAGGATGAGGATGATGTTGAGGATGATGAGTATGATAGCGGTGGTGAATATGATGGTCATGAAGACGTTAATATTTATGTTGACGACTAGGAGCTGGAAGAGCAGGATGAGGAGTAGGAGGAGGAAGAGGAAGGTCGTCACATGTGTCTCCTTTCGCTTGCATTAGTTGAGCTGTCGTTACACTCGTTCGGGCCGTCTTGGAGCGACTGTCTTGGCATCCTGTGAGGCAGTCTTGAGAGGTCCCCTGGGGCCGTCTTGGGCCGTCTTGGGGCCATCTTACGCAGTCTTCGGGCTTTCTTGAGCCGCCTTGGGGCCCTCTTGGCCCTATGCTGGATGCCCGGGGGGGGGGGGGTGGACGTCGTGGGGCCGTCCTGTGCAGCCGAACGGCCTTATGAGGCCGTCTTTGGTCCCTCGAGAGGCTTTCTTGCGCCATTTTGGGGGCGTCTTGGAGGGTTATTGGTCGCGGGGCATCGTGGGCCATTTTGGGAAGCTCTTGGGGCCCCTGGGGCCGTCTTGGGGCCATCCTGGAGCTTCTTGTGCAATCTTGGGCTGGCGGAAGCCCGAAACGCGGAGGATGCGAATCGCACTCACCAGCCTAAGGGAAATCGGAGAGACACTGTTTCCCCAGACCCTCTTGGGAGTCCTCGGGTTGCCCGTTTGGGCTCTCTTGGAGGCATCGCGGGCTGTATGGAGACAATACTGGGCCGCCTTGAGACCACCTCTCCTCTGGCCGTGCTCGAGACATCTTGGGCCATTTTGGTGCCCTTGGTTGCCTGCACGTGCCGTGGAAGCCCGGGGCGCAATTCCATTATTTGCTATCAGAGGTTGTTACCTTGGGAGCGCGGCTCCATCTTTTTGTGCGAGGGATCGCGGCTTAGGGAGGGGGGGTCGATGCATGCAGACGGACGCGTCCTTGGTGGGAAGGTCCCATATTAGAACTCTGGGCATACTTTCACGCCCCAAGGTGCACAAGGTACGGTGGCGAATCGTGCATATTTTTATGGAGGAGGGGGATGAGGAGAATGAGAGTGGAGGGGAGGGAGAGAGGTAAGGAGGAGGATGGATGAGGATTCCAGGATGAGGAGGAGGAGGAGGAGGAGCATAATGAGCAAGAGCAGACGTACGAGGCAGGACAGGACGAGGAGGAAGTGGTAGAGGAGGAGGAGGGGGAGCAGGATAAGGGAGGAGAGAGCAGAGGAGGAGGAGAGGAGGAGGAGGTGGATGGAATGATGGGAGGAGTGGATGCAGGGTGGGGGAGAAGGGGGAGGTAGGGAGGGAGCGGGGGAAGGAGGGAGGAGGGAGGAGGTGGACGAAGAGGACCAGTGTCAACCCAAGGCGCATCAATTATGTCGCAACGCACCATCCCTCTGGGATACCTCTGGGCTCCCACTTACAACCAAAAAGCAGAGACTCCGTCTTTGCCAGGCGGACGAGGTGGGCACGAGCGTTGTGGAGCCACGCGCTCTTGTCACATGCCGTGGCACGGCTGAGGCCCCCAGGCAGCTTGGAGTCCACTCCCCGCCCCCACCTCGCACGCTCCCTGACTCGAGTCTCGTAAATAAAATTTTGAAACAGATTTTTCTGGCCGAAAAAAACATAATATCAGAACAAACAACAAAAAATGCGGGCCCACGGGGGGTGTGTTCGAGCCACTGGGCCGACTCCCCGCGAGTAGGTTTGCCCAGGACCACAACCAGCACGAGCCAGAGATGCGTGGCCCTGGGATCCCGCTCCCAGGGCTTCGGAACGTCACCGAACCTCTGGAGGAGCTCCGGAGGCAGAGGCTCTGAAAGCCCATCCCAGCCTGGGGCTGTGCCCTTGGCGCAACGATCCGAAGCAGCTCTCACACCATCTGCCGCGATCCTTGGCAGCTCCTCTGCCACGGGCCAGTCCCGAGGAGGACGTTCGCCTTCCCTGGAGGCCTTGGACCAAAGCGGCTCCCATTCTTCCAGCAGCGCTCCCAAAGCCTCCTGGCCCGCCAGGGCTGGGAGCCTTCCTCTGCACACCCCGGCAGCGGAAGGACATCGGGGTGGGGCCTTGTGGAAAAACGGTGGGCGACCCTGCCACCCCGAGCCGCAGAGACTCCCTGGCAAAGCCGTGCCAGGCCTGGCGGGCGGCTGCCGCGCCCGCAGCGGCGCGTCGAGGAGCTTCCCCCGTGGGCGCCGCCAGGGCGGCCTCCCTGGGCGCCACGCCGGACAGGGCTGGCACGGCCTCGAGGCCCGAGGGACTCGAAAGCTCGGAGGACCGCCGCCTCGTTCGAACTCAGAGCCACCGGCCGCCCCCCCGGTCGCACCCCCCTCCCCTCCCAGAGCCAGGAGCTGGCACGCCAGACGGCGACGCCGGCGCCAGCCGACGGTGGCAGCAGTTGAGCGCCTCCCAAGGCCCCCCCGTGGAGGCACTTTGTCCTGCAGCTGCACGCTTGCGAACTTGCTGCTGAGCAGCGCCGCCGCTCCGCCCGAGTGCTCTGGCGCCCCGTCGCCTGTCCTGACGGCCCTGGTGGCCGAACATGGGAAGCCCGGCTGTCTCGACCACGACTCCGCTGAGCCGATGCGAGCGGTTGACGCCGAGCGGGTCCTCCTGGAGCAGAACCGCGCCGGGAAGGTCACCCCGAGCGTCCTTCCGCCGCTCGAGGAGCTCCATGCCCGAGCTCCAAGCGTTGCGGTTGTGGGTGCAGATGGACCTCTTCCTCCTCCTCCCCCTCCTCCTCCTCCTCCTCCTCCTCCTCCTCCTCCTCCTCCTCCTCCTCCTCCTCCTCCTCCCCTGTCTCTTTGTCTGGACTGCCGGGCCGCCCGTCTCGCCGCTGCGGCTGGCGCCCTCCTCTCCGAGACCGCCCGGTCCTGGCTGAGTGCCTCCTCGCAGGCCCCCTCCTCGCCAGCGGACTCGGCCGCCACCGCAGCGGCAGCAGACGTGCCTCCGCCCGTCGCCGCTCCAAGCCCGACCAGCACAGGCTCGCGGCCTGGGGGCGCGGGGGCCCCGGGCAGGGGCGGCCCTGCGGCGGGCCTGGCGCCGCCGCCGCCGCCGCCACCCGTCGTCGGGCCCAGCGCCAAGTCGGGCCTGTCCCTCTACAGGAGGGATGCTCAGAAATAGTAAAGAAAATGCCCTGGGGACGAAGGTTCGAGTCTTTGTTGCCTAGTTTGGGGCATGGTGTTTGGCTGTGTTTTATTCTTCGTCCAAAATCCGCCTGTAGGGGGGGAGACACGCCCGACCTAAGCCCAGCGCGCTCCCGCCAGCCGAGAGGCCTTGGGGCGCAGGGGCGCTGGGCAGCGGCCCGCGGCGCTCCTGAGGCGCCGAACTGGGCGCGTGCGGTGGCAGATCACGGGAGCCTGGCATTACCCTTGGGATTCCGTCTTTGGCGTCGACTCGCGCCGATCCGCGTCGGGAGTCGGTGCGATAGCGCCGATGCAGCGTCGAGTAGCGCCGATCTAGCGCCGACTTAGCGTCGATTCGGCGTCGAGGGGCGCCGATGCGCGAGAGCCGACGAGATGGTGTGGGAGACTCCCACGTGCTGCCACCTACCGAAGACGCACTCGCGGAACTCGCGGCCCATGTGCTTGGCATCGCTCGGACGTGTGCGTTGTTTCCTTCGGCGAGGACCATCGAGGAGCATCCTTGATCATTTGGCGAACAAAAACACGCACGGAGCCGGAAAAAACACAGGGAATGGACGTCCGAGCGATGGCCAGTGCGGCGCGCTCTGCCAGACCTCGCGCCGAGCCCGGGCCGCCGAGAGCCGCGCCGCGCTGCTTAAGGGCCCCAGGCCATCGCCGTGCACAACGGGCCCGGGCATGCGACGCGACTTCGCGGCGCCGCGGGGAGCAGCCCTCGCAGGCCCGGCGAGAGTGCAGCGGCCAGGGCGAACCGGAAGCCGCCCCCTTTGCGTGGCCGCCCTCGTGGCAGCAGCTGCCCCGGAAAAGACGCCGCGGCACCCGCGGCGGGGCCACGCGCGGAGAGAGCCCGTGGTCTGGTGCCCCCGGCTGCGCCAGGACAGCCGGGGGCCCCGTGGGCACGAGGCCGCGGCCCCTCGCGCCCCAGCCTCGCAGGAAGCTGGCTCAGCACGAGGGGGCGTGCCCTGGGAGGTGATGTCTGGCACCGTCCTGCGAAGGTTGGCCGCATCCGCCCCCTCGTGCTGCATCGCCCTTGCCTCGCCTGCTGGCTTGGCCTGGGCCCCCGACGATGGGGCCGCATCCGAAGGAGCTGCCGCAGCGCACGCCGCCCCGTCAGCGTCAGCTCGCCTGCGCTCTCCAGCCAAGCGACTTCACAGTCGGAACCAGACTGTTGGGACTTATGACCCGGGGCCAGCGGCAGGCTGGGGGCCAGGGGAAGCCCCATTGCCCTTGCCAGCCCCGTCCTTGCCTTTCTTCCCTTTCGGAGCCCTTTCCCATGCTAGGACCAGGCAGTCCCGGCCTCCCTCCGCAACATCTGCACCGCCGCTGCCTGCGCCAGCAGCCGAGACGGGTGAGCTGTCCCACCAGATGCCCTCAGCGCCACAAGAGAGGCCGGGGACGAGGTCTGAACGCTTGTTCCCACGCGCGCTGCAGGAATTGCCGCCCTTGGAATTCGTCTTGGAGCCGCCCTTCGCGCATCGAGGACCTGGACCGTTCCTCGAAGCCACCTGCCGCGACCTCTCTTGGAAGTCGTCCCATGGATCCGCGCTCCGCCACTGCCCATACTCGGCCCTCCAAGGCCAAGTCCGAGCACCGCCACCAGTGCCCACACGAAAGCATTAGAAGCACGTGACATGAGGCCGCCGTGGTGAGGAGAGGACGCGAGATCGGAAGATACAATCCCGAAGCGTGCAGGTATAGGTGTGTATATATATATATGAACCAGATCAGGAGATGGGCCAAGGAAGTTGAGGAGGACTTCGACGCGGCTGTGGCAGGGAACTCCTGCCTGCGAGAGGCGATGGCGCGAGCGCTGGGAGACGAGACCACACAAGAGCTCGGAGCCCACGCAGCGTGCGCCTTGGTAGACGTGAAGAGGTTATACGACTCCTTGGTCTTTGAGAAGGTCGCGCGGAGGGCACTGGAGTATGGCTTCCCCCCGAGGGTGCTCGCCATGGCCATGCTGCTGCACCTCACGCCGCGCATGCTGAAAGAGGGGAGCGCCTGCAGCCTGGCGATCTACGCGCAGAGAAGCCTGCTAGCGGGCTCCAGGCACAGCAACAACCTAGCGCGAACCCTGATCTACCATCTGGTGAAGGCCATGAACAGCCAGGTGAAGATTGTGCAGCCGAGGACCTGGTTCGACGACATCGGATTGCGCGCGGTGGGCAGCTGCGCACAGGTCGAGGACTGCATCGTGACAGCAACCTTCGTGCTAGCCAAGGAGCTCAACAGCGAGGGCCTCTCCATGGCAGGCAAGTCGGTACTTTTCAGCACGGACTTCGACATGACCAAGAGGGGCACCAAGAGGTTGAAGTGCATGGGCGTGGACATCAAGGGAGCCACAGAAGGGCGTGGTCATGGACTGGATCGAGCAGGACGGACATGTACGAGGCGCGCGACACCCAGTGCACGGAAGAGGAAAGGATTCAAAAGGTTTGCCGCAATCTCGAAGAAGCTCAAGAGGGCGAGGACGAGGAGGCAGGTAATCGAGCAGGGCCCCATGGCTCAGGTCGGCTACGGCACGAGGGCATACGGTGCCAGCCCCACAGCTCACGGCCATCAGGAGGAGGTACGCGAAAGGGCTCAGGAAAGCGTGGCCAGGTAGGTGCCTCACAACGCTGCTGGACTTGGAGGGAGCGGACCCAGGCATCACGATCCCCAAGAACCAGATTCAGGCGTGGTTCGACCTCTGGGCAAGCCGACCAGACCTACGAGCAGGAGTACGCAGAGCATGGCCACGGATACGGGATAGACTATTGGCACCGCCGAAAAAAAACAAGATGGCAACAGAGAAGGGGCATCATAGGGTCGCTCATCCTTCAGCTCTGGGAGATCAACTGGGACGCGAAGACGGCGGACTTCTGGGAGGATGCTGACGGAGGGGGTTGGCAACTTCAACCAGACGACGGCGACGATGACCCCACGGTGCTGCTAGATGCAATCACCATCGACCTGAAGAAGGCAAGGTGGCAACAAGCCAGCCTACACCACAACGGAGCTGGACTGCAGCACGGAGCGGATACCCACGACGTGAAGATGCAGCTGAGGAACCTCAGGAAACGCGGGAAGTACCAGATGTTCGGAGCCATACTCACGGCAGCGTGCGCAGGGACGTGGCCACCACAGAGAAGACGAGAGACGTTCGGCGAAGATACCTGCAACCTGTGCGAGTGTGGCGAGATAGCGGGAGCTACAGATGTAGGAGCGACCACAACATCTACAGGAAAACCGAGAACCTGGTGAATCGCGCGCAACAAGGGAAGCAAGAGTGGGCAGCGTTCTGGCTACGAGGTATCACACCGAGAGCATGGACTACGCCACCAGCTTGCGAGACGGAGTACAGACCAACACGGACAGGGGCAGCGGCTCACATCACCAACGACCCACAGGGGGACAAGATGTACCTGACGGGGGGGCATGATAGTCTGTGGTGACGGCAGCGGAGGAACACATGGTGCAGACGCGAGGTACCGAAAGTGCGGCTGGTGCTGGGTGCTCATGCAGAGTGCCAACGGCAATTGGCAGGCGGCGGCCACTGTACATGGTCCCCTTCCTGGAGCTCGGCAAAGCAACAACAGGGCGGAGATAACGGCGTTCCTGGACTGCCTCCAGTCGACGGTGGGGGACCTGGTCTTCTACACGGACTCGGAGATCCTCTGCAAAGGTTGGCATAGCCGCAGGTACCTCAGCACGGGCTACACGAAGGCCCACGGCGACCTGTGGAAGAAAGTGCGACAACGACTAGAAGTACGAGGAGGTGCGGACATTCAGGTTCGCCACATCGAGAGCCACATGACGATCGACCAAGCTCGTGAACGAGGAGTACCACTGGAGGCGTGGAAGGGCAACCAGAAGGCGGACTCCTTGGCGGGCGAGGCGGCGGCATCCCACGAGATCTCAGAGGCGCAGATGGGCTGCTACAACTGGGCGAGGGCCACGGCGCACTTGGTGAGGACTCGCATCGGCCAGGCGTGCATGGAGCAGTTCGAGAAGACCAAGCCCATGACGTGGGAGGAAAAGGCCGAGGCGAAAAGCAAGAGGAAAAAGACACTGGACGAGAAGAACAACTACGTGTACCTGAGGCAGCACACCCCACACCTACTGCAACCAGAGGGGCGAACATGGAGATGTGCGAGATGCAAGGAATCGGTCGGGAAGCACCAGAGGTCACGGCAGGTGAAGTGGTGGCTGCAACCATGCAAAGGCGAAGCTCAGACTCAAGATGAGCATCAAGAAAGAGCTCAACGCAACCTGGTCCTCAAGGGAAAGATCTCACACCACACGCACGTCATCTGCTGGTCCAGGCACAAGGAGCGGCACTTCTGCTGGAGCTGTGGTGCTACGGCGGAGAAGCACCTGAGCAACAAGATGGTGAACGGCTACGAAGGGTGGCCAGCGGGCCAGGCATCAAGGTACGCACTGAAGTCACTCAGACGAAAGATGGACTGGGCACCAGGAGCAGGAGATAGATGGAGCAAAAACACCATGGTAAAGTTCACGAAGTCCGAGCAGCATAAGAGCAACGCGAGGGACCACGCGAGGGACCGCGCCTCGAGTCAGAACGATGAGAGGTCGGTCACCAGTGGGCCGTCAGCCCGCAGGGGCACCGTGAGATTTCATTATTGCAAGAGAGTTGTGCCATGAATGCAGTTGTCGAACGGATCTTGATCGACTGCTGCAAGCAAGAGGCACCAGACCGACGGCCACGGAGGCCCCGTGGACTGCGAGAAGGACGGCGGCGACATCCGCGAGCCGTCCATCTGAGCGGGAGGCTGACGCCTGCCGCTCCAGACAGTCGTTGACTGATAAAAAAATTCGGGAACATTTCAGGAGGAGGAGGAGGAAAAGGAGGAGGAGGAGAAGGAGGAGCGGGAGAAGGACCAGGAGGACCAGGAAGACCAGGAGCAGCGGGGGTAGCAGGGGGAGGAGAAACAGCAACAACAGGGTCGGGGAAGACGAGTCCAGAAGGGCCGAACTGGGTCACCACAGTGCCACAGCTTGGACGAAACACTCGGAGGTGTGGCAGTTCGCCGATCTCCTCCAAGTCTTCCCACCGCTGCCTGTGCCCACGAGGAGGACGAGGAGGTGCGCCAGCGGGCGCCCGCGTCGTGCGGAGGAGGAGGAGGAGGTGGAGGAGGAGGAGGAGGAGGAAGAGGGGAAAAGGACAAGCCGGGTGTGCTCGCGCCTTACCTGACATCATATCCCTCCCTCCCATCCCTTCCCATGGCGCTAACTTGTCCCTATCCGCGGACGCTTGTCGTAGCCGATCTGCGACTCCCACAGAAAGACCACTTCGTGTTTTGCACAATCGGAAGGGGAGCTGCGTGCACAGGAGTAGGAGGAGGAGGAGGAGGAGGAGGAGGAGGAGGAGGAGGTGGCGGCGGATGAGCAGGAGGGTGAGCGGGAGGAAACAGTTGAGGATGAATAGCAGCAGCAGCAGCAGCAGCAGCAGCAGCAGCAGCAGCAGCAGAAACGAAAGCGGAAGGATCGAAGGGGAAGGCGGAGGAGGGGAAATGAGGGGGGCTACAACGATGGTGAAAGACCCGGATTCCGAAAAGTGGCCCGCGTTGGCGAGAAGGACAGCAGCAGGAGGAGCTGGAGCGGAAGGAGCGGAAGGAACAGCAGGACCAGGGGAGGGCGGAGAAGGGGAAATGCGGGGGTAGACCACCATGAAGCAAGGCTCGGAACCAGAAAAGTGGCCTGCGCTGGGGCGAGAGCGCCCTTCGGAAGGACGGGGGCAAAGCGCCGATCCGAAAACGAGGCCCACGCTGCAGTGGGAACACCATTCTGAAACACCGAAAACAATCGGATGGTGTAACACATAAGAAAAGCAGTTGATATCGTCTGTGTGTGTGC